TTTATTCAACGTTTGCTTGTTACAATACCATGAAATAAATTATATTATACGTTTTCTTTATTTCCACTAAATTTAACGTTGTAACAACCATCAACGAAGACGGAGACAAAAATTTCCATTCCGCGAGAGGAAGTGTGATGAACGACTCTCTATCCTTGTCGTCAATCAAATAATCGCGAAACGATAGAAGCTTCTAGAAGAAACTAGGTAACAATCCGCAGTAGACTCGCGGATTTACGCGGGAGACTCGTGGTTTTACGCGGGAGACTCGCGGTTTCGCGCGGGAAACCACTTAGCGACGCGTCTAGTTGATAAGCCGCGCTTCATTAGCAACGCTCAAGTATAAATACCACGGCCGCGGACGCGGCCAAGCATTCTTGCTGTGCTCTGCTGGGAGAGAGGTCGGCCTTCAGAGTGGGAGAGTACGAAGCCTAGCTTGCGGACGGCCTTACAGCACAGGTGAGTACGGGGACTGGCTCTTGGGTCACTCTCTGGAGGAGAGAACTGCTGGACTAGCCGCCGGTCGCCTCTTAGGGAGGAGAGTACAGGGAGGTTACCCGGACGCCTGAGGAAGCTCGGGGAGGATTGCGCCGTTCTTCTGTTGGTATGGAGAGAACGGCTGGACTATCCGCCGGTCGCCTACCAGGAGAAGTGCTGGTGGACTCTCCGCCGGTTGCCTACCAGGAGAAGTGCGGGTGAACTATCCGCCGGTCGGCTACCGGGAGAAGTGCGAGTGGACTATCCGCCGGTCGCCTACCGGGAGAAGTGCGGGTGGAATCTCCGCCGGTTGCCTACCAGGAGAAGTGCGGGTGAACTATCCGCCGGTCGCCTACCAGGAGAAGCGCTGGTGGACTAACTCTCCGCCGGTTGCCTATCGGGAGAAGTGCGAGTGGACTATCCGCCGGTCGCCTACCGGGAGAAGTGCGAGTGGACTATCCGCCGGTCGCCTACCGGGAGAAGTGCGGATGGAATCTCCGGCAGTTGCCTACCAGGAGAAGTGCGGGTGAACTAGCCGCCGGTCGCCTACCAGGAGAAGTGCGGATGGACTACCCGATCATACGCGTATCGTTTAAATATTGTGATAGGAGAGTACGAGAGCAATACCTGGGTAGCTCCTGGAATGGAAAGAACGGCTGGACTATCCGCCGGACGCCTTCCAGAGAGTAGAGTACAGGTAATTGTTATATATCGTTTTATCCGTTTCGTTAATATTGTAACGGGAGAGTACGACTGCTTAAAGCCGGACGTCCGAAAGCAAAAGCAACAGCTCGAACACTGCATTGATTTGTCCGAAATTATTCTGTACCAACATTTAACATGTATCGACGAAAGGTAAATAAACTTGTGTGTGTTTTTTCCCAGATACCAAAGAATATCCTTGCATTCCATAAAATCCTACTACACTTTAATATTTAGCGAATAAATCAATTGCCTATCTAGCTTCCATTTTTAATTATATTCGTAAGAATCCACAGTCTGATTACTATAGACTTAAAACCAAGAATTGGAAAAATTTATTACGAAAAAACACCAAAATTCTAACATTATCGTAGATACAGAAAGACCCGAGTAACACGAGCCACCTTATTCTTTCATAAATTCTCATAAACATTCATCTTACGCCACGTCCCAGTCGATGACTCTCCTCCACCCACGAAACTCCTCCGTATCAGCTCCGAAAGTAAGACGTACGTCCCCGAAAAATAATCCGCTGAATTTCATCCGGCATAAAAATACAGGGCAACACGTACATAGGTCCCACGAGAAATATATTCCCGGGTGGTGTAGTAGAGTGAGGTTATAATACCATCCGGGGCTTACCCGGAAGACTAACAGGAGAGAATTCCGGCAGCTACGCGGTCCGGCGACGTTCCACGCGCATCGGATATTTACCGAAATTGAATTTCTGTCTCGTTCCCGGTGCTCGTATGGCGGGTTAGCAAGCCCCGTGGCTACATAACACGATATTCCCGGCTGTCGAAGGAAAAAGACGTCGTGGCTGGTCGAGTCACGGTATACTAGAGGACCTCGTTCGACACACAGACACGTTTATATACGTGTGTATACCACGTATACATACATATAGGACATCGTGGATCGAAGAAGAATATGAATACCTTCGATTGACAGACATTGTCCA